CGGCGGAAAATACGTAATAAATGCCGAATACTGAAAATTAGCCGGTGCTTTCTGACCAATTAGAAACGAGAATACATATTAAATGTATAATAATGAATATTAATGACTGTTTTAATAAAAATATAAAGAACCAGTACGTTACGAACCGACTCTATAGGTACAAAAATAGCCTGACATAAAAAATAGTGGGTTTTTTAAATTTATGCGCGGGTTTTACTGTATGCCTCTCTTATTTTTAGAGACGTTCTTCAGTTCGGGTGGAATTTTTGGGACACTCTGTATATAAATCACTTTTTTTATCTGTTATATATGCTTAATTCGCTTTCTTGATCAGCCAACACATATGCATCTGAAGGATAGTTATGCGACGCATATATGTTTGGGAGATGAAAAATAAAATCATAGGCCTATATAAAATTGCTTCTGCGTCACCAAAACAGTTAAACAGCATAAGCAATTGCAAAGATGCGATCGCATGCATGTTAAGAAATGAGATATATTTACTATAGAAATCGCGTTCCATGCATGCATACAATTTACAATCGTATAATACACATGCGCAGCACTGAGTACCTGCTGGGCTTAAATTTTGAAAAATACCTTGTCGCTTTGCGATCAATCTCGTTCCCAGAGTATGCCTGTTCGCGGGTTAGGTTGTGGCATGACTCTGGGGAAATCGAATTTTTTTATCCAAAATGAGATAAATGGCGCATGCGCTTTTATTGCTTTCGTTTATTCCGCTTACTAAATTCGCGCGGGCACACGCTCACAATCGATATTGTTTTAAACAAAGATTCTCATCAGAATATAGTATACAAAATGGGTTTTTATACGTTTGAAGGTGCTTTAAATCGTACTACTATTAAATTATATTCAATGGCAAATACTGAAAGAGCTATGAAAGTTGTTCTAGCGAAAATAGGGCTTGAATATTCGTTAAAAGACGAGACATTCAAATGTATCTCGGCCATAATGTAAAATGGTGAAGATGTTTTGGTTGTTTTGCCAACAGGTTATGGGCTTATTATGGCAAATATTAAAATATTTCAGCTGCTACCTGACGTGTACGACGTGTTACTTGGCGTAACTAATTCTATCGTGATAGTAATATCGCCACATGAATGTCAATGATCAAGGCATTTCTGCATGCATGATGTCAAAGTATGATACAAGGCCATTCTGTGCTACACTATATTATGGTGATGGCAGCGATATCAAATTACCATTGGATCGACATGAGAACCTGACGTATAAG